TTTACTGTGGCAAAGATTGAGTAATAGTAGCACCTCTCCTTTAGAGTAATGGATCTTTTTTATTCTGCATCCCACCTATCAGTTAATGAAAGAGTTTGGATCTCACTAGAAACCCCAAAACATGAAAACAAAGAAATGACTAAAGGTTTACATGCACATAATAGGCAGCTTCATGATTTGCTTCATTAGTAGCTTGGTCTAAGCAAGCATGATAATAAAATTAATCACCACATTTAATCCACTGGTGCCAATGCAATGAAATCATTCCACTGATCTAGTTCTCCATTTGTGCCTGTAACAAGCCCCTGTAGGTGTATCTCAGAAAATGTCATTAAAAAGGATAACATTAAGTTGTATTATGTTATCCAGTCTGACAATTCAGCAGATGGATTCCAAGGATCATGTGTCTGTAGGTATATATTTGAATGTGTGGGACTGCTGCCTACCTGAATTATTTGTTTCAGAGAATCAATAAATACCAATGAATTAGTCTACGTGGGGTACAATGGTTTTTAAGTGATGCCAAACACCAAGAACAGCCTTTCCTCAATTTGGTGCTTGCCAAATGATTGAATACATTCTCCGTAATTTCAAGTTAGCAGGCTCTTTGATTTGCTATAATCAACACTTAAAATGTTAGAAAGAAATTATGGGAGTTCTCATCTAGGTTCTAGAGGGCATTGGGTTGAGGAAGAGCATCTCTGTATTAGGGGACAGTGAGCTAGGCAAGGTTAGTGCCATGTCTCTACCAATTGCCCTTAAGTTGGGCAGAATTAGCCTCTCTACACAATGATATTAACTTGCATTTAAAAGAAAATCCGCCTTTCTACGCTTACAGTCTGGCTCTGAAAGGCAGTAAAAGTTAAGCTTCTGTGTCACTTTTGATTAAACTCCTAAGTGATTTAATAGAGAATTTTAAAAACCATATTAAAGTCTTAAAGCTTGCAGGTGTCAGAGATTTAACAATCTTGATCCTCCAAGCTGCCACTAAAGGGAGGCCAAGAGTTATATTTCCAGCACGTGGTACATTCTCCCCTGGATAGCATGAAAGGAAGGCACAGTGGGCATTGTATAGAGAAAATCTTGTATGTCCCACATGGGGAGAAGCCTATACTAGCCTGCTAATACTTCGTGCATAATGATCCTCTGCTCTCGGTTGCTCCATTTACCTGTATTATGGCTGAATTCAAAGACTGGCAATGCAGATTCATAATCAAGTAACTGTGCTCTGACTCATGTGGGAGCTAAGGGCCAGGAGAAAGGGCTATAGCCTCTTATGTAGGATGGTCAACATAAGTAAACAGCCAGCAAAGAGTGGCCCCTTACCAAACAGTAGGAGAATGACATGACTTCTCTAGAAGCTGCAGGACTGCTTGCTTTCCTCACTAATTTTTTTCAAGGGCCAACGAGAGCTCACCGGACACCACCGGAACCGCGACGCTTTCCAAGGCACGGGCCCCTCTCTCGGGGCAAACCCATTCCAGGGTGTCACTAATACCACTGGATCTTTGGCCAATACCTGGAATTAGGCAACATCTTTGTTTAATTTTTGTTAATGTCAATAAATAAATGGTAATCTTGTAGGAGAGATTAAAAAGAGGATTGGACCCTGCTTTTGTGGCCATGTCCTTTTCCAACCATGTTGTGCAGAATAAACATTAAGAAATGTAAGCAATGCATTGGAAAAATACTGCAAATTTTGGGACACATTCAAGGAGCATCATTTTCTTGGTACAAAAGATAAAATACGCCTTCATGAGCTCCCAGTTACTATCTAGTCTAGGAAAGCTAAGTTTCAAGAATATTTGTTCCATCCTACCTTCCTACAGCAAAAGAGAAATAATATCTTGGGGGATAACAACAAATTAATTTTCTCAGCAAAAATCCTCAGTTAGGTTAGGGCTGTTCTGGAACTGACCAGAAGGAATAAGTTCTCCACCCACTGATAAGCCAGTGGCATGCAGAGGCAGGACAGGAATCGAACTTTAAGCAGGCAGCAATGGCAAGAGCTTTTGAAAACATGCAGAGTTTAATCCCATAAAATTGCAAATCTGTTGGAAGCGTTTACACCAGGAAGTTTTCCTGGGGCAAATAGCCCTTCAGGATTAGCAAGGTCGGAATAAAGTTCTTTCCTTCTATTGCTAGTGCAGATATTTGAAATCATATCTCTTTTTCATACTTATCCGTGGCAGATGAGTCTGGGACGACATCCACAATTTCCCCGAGAGACTAGAAAGGGTGGGAGGGAGAAATGCATCACTTCAAAGAGGCAGATGCAGATATACCTCCTCCCTATGGATTAATACTGCATACATTAAAAATGCCCCTGGATTAAACTGCATGCAGGCAAAGTTGCAATCATGGTTGGCTGAATTTGTCATTATTTTCCCCCTTTCCTTTGTAGAATTCATCTGGTTCAGGAACTGTAGTTTATTAGTTCTGCTGTGGTAAGCCAATTACTTCACAATTACCCTACACAAATACACTCATGTGTAATAGCAGTGGACAGAAATACAATACAAGCAATGCACAAAGCAATAGTGCACCAAATAGAAATTAGATAGCCTGTAGTGCAAATTATGCATATAGCCAACTCTTCTGTGACTGAGTATGTACAAACTTCCCGTCTTTCATTTCATGAAAAGAAGCAAAATTCAGAGGGAGTGAGAAGCGAGGGCAAAGTTGCCTGAGACGCAGAGTAACAAAGTGATGGAAACACACATTGCGACAGCCCATCAGATTCAGTTCTCTAACTTGCAGGAGAAGCATTTTCAATACGGTACTCAAGAACATGGCTGTGTCCCTTTTAATCAGCATGGCAATTCCACTTTGAAACAGTCAGAAATCATTATTTGGAAAGTTGCTCAGGTGAAAGCCACTCTTTGCTACGTGCAATGAGAAGATTCAGCAAAGGAATGGAACTTTACAAGGAAAAGGAAGACCAGTGCTAACTCTCAAAGAGGATCAAGCAGCTGATCTGGCCAAACTTACAGGCTATCACAAAAGAGATACAACTGATAGTACCATTTAAAAAAAACCCAATAGGTGGCTTTGGTGCAGGACAGCTAACCTCACTCTGGGTTACTGGACAGTTGGGAATTGGACAGTTAATAGGCAAGTTCACTGCTCACTTCATAAGCAAAGTTTATTTTCTAATCAATTTAGCTGCTCATGATAAGAGCTGCCTGTGTCCCATCCAGGGCTGTTTCCACCCAGAACCTTATGACAGCAATCGTAGTTCAAAAGGACAATGAAAAATTGGAGAAAATTCAGAGGAGGACAGTCAGGATGATGAAGCCCTCAGGAGAATGGTTAATGGATTTAAGAATGGTTAATGGATGTTTGGCCTACAACAAGGATGACTGAAAGGAGATATGACAACAATCTTCAAATAACTGAAATTTTTTGACATAAAAGAGGGAATGAGCTTATTTTCTATCGCCTTAGAAGTCAGAACCAGAATGATGGGTTAAAACTACAAGTGAGCAGGTTTAACCTAGATATCAGAAGGAGGCTCTACATCATTGACCATGTTGTAGTGAATTCACTTTTTATTTTATTGTTATTTATTTTTTTAGATTTTTTAAAAAATCCTGCCTTTATTATTTTATAAGTAATTCAAAGCAGTGAACGTACTAAATACTTCTTTCTCCCCCTATTATCCCCACAACAATCCTGTGAGATGAGTTAGGCTGTGAGAGAGTGACTGCTCAAAGTCACCAAGCCAGGTCTCATGCCTAAGGTGGGACCAGAACTCAGTCTCCTGGTTCTAGGCCAGCACATTAAACACAATACTAAACTGCCTCTCATCTTTGTTAGAGGTCTAATTCTGCACTAAATAGAAGATCTATCCAATCCTGATTCCATGACATGTACTCAAATCAATGCAGAAATCAATGTATTCTTTGTAACAGCAAAGAATCAATGCATCATCAATATTCTTTTTTGTTAAAAGATGCATACCAAGGTTGGATGTAATTCGTTTTTATGAGACTACTGATATACACATTCAGTTTCTGAGTGAAATCCACAACCAATCTCCAGTCTACACTGGGCAGGGGATGGAACTATATGACTTCCAAAATCCCTTCCCACCCTCATTCTATCAGTCTACAATTTGAGTGGCTCTCAGTGTGCCTGAAATTGATGCCAAATTGTAGCTTGAGGATGGACTTTTAAATATTTCCCTTTACATCCTATTATTTTTCAGAGAGGCTGTAACATTTCTAAATTGTAATAGAAAGTTGTGACTTTGTGATCCTGTACATTCATAAAGTGCTGAAGCTGATGAAGGCTTGACACACAAAGTTCACAGCAATCAAACAGAAGTTTAATCAGCACGTGGGGACAAAGATGTTCATCTTCTTCCCTACATATTTAACCCCTGGTGCTATAGAAACTTCATTCCATTTTTTTCATCTAGATTTTTAACCTGAGGGCAACTTCACTTTCTAGGTCTTTAGTTTATAAACATTAGCCATAACTCCAAATAGTTTTTATAATTCACGGGGTTCTTGAGATATTATTCACCTACAATTTTTCCATATTATTCGAGACCACAGTCCAGTTCAGCTTTCCCCAACTTTTAGTTATACCTGATTCTGTTTCTCATAATCCCAGATGATCTGGTTTGTTAGAATTATCCTTTCACACATCAGAAAAACACCAGGTTAGGAAGGGCTAATATAATATCTTCCTGTAATAAAGCAACAGTCATTTTCTTGTAGAACATTTATACATTCAGGTAATAGAGTACCCACATGCAGCCAATTGACATTAGAATGTTAGAAAGAACTGGCTAAGAATCAGTCCCAGACAACGCAAGCATAGAATAAGCCATTTTTTGTTTGTTTTTAGTAACTTTTCTATAAGGATATGTACATGCAAGGGGAAATTAATCCAATTCTTTTGTCTATGTCATATATTATTTTATTAAACGAACATATAGGACATGGTCTCTGGTCTTAATAACAAGAGTACTGCAATAAGAAAGAACTTACAGCCTTTGTAGATGTCTGTAGGTATCTGTACAGCTGCATATGAGTAATTAACTTTGGTTTTGAAGTTATCATCATCTGTGAATTCCAACTTCAAGGAATTAGATTTCTCTCTTTCAACCTCTTCCCCTTCTGGGTCATCCTAGGGGATAAAAAAGGACACATATCATAAAAAAATCAAGTCAGGAAAATGGTGATAATAACCCAAAGAGGGTATGGCAATGGATTTTGCCATTGAACAGGCCCCAAGAAAAAATGTATATGGAAATTCTGAATCATCCGAGTCATGGTTGTTCCAAAGGTGCTTTTTCCAAAAGGCAACTGAACTTACTTTGTTTTTTTCCCTTTGAAAACATTTTCATCCAAGAAACTTCTTCAGTTCAGAACTTCAAAACCTCTGGAACATCCAAGAAAGAGGAACCACCAAGTTCTTACCTTCAACAGTGGTCAATGGCCTTTGGAGGTCCTAAACAGGAAGCAATCTGGGGACACCTCATCTGCTGATATGCTATCAGTAGCCAATTTGAGCATTCAGCTACAAGTAATGTACTATGTTCATCTAACAACTGTACTGTATGCATAGTGTGTACATGCCCATATGTTCATGTATACCCAAGCACTTTGATATAGAAATTATCTTTTGAATTAACATTTTTGACATAGTCTTATAAATAGCTTTGTGCATATCTACATGTGGAGGTTTTCCTAACATAATATTATAACATTTAATCTTTTTATAACTGTTAAACTCATTACATTTTAAGATTCAGCAGAGATTGTATTGTTTAATCCCAGTCTGTAACTTCTAATTGCAATCATACCGGTTACAATTATATTACCGTACAATCATCCATTTATAATATTACTTGACTGATACTGATAGAAGCAAATACCGGTAGTTATAGCTCAGATTGAACTGTGGGATCCTTGGTGCTCTCTAGCTTGCTTGTTTTTTTGCAGATGTCTTATTACTAAACTAGGTAACAAAATCAGGGCTAGTATGGAGTACGGTTTGCTCTTATTTTATATATTTGTAGGTAACCCTGTCAGTGTTGGTGGGAGTAGTTTTGGTGGTTCCTTGATTGGGCTGCTGTTTATTGTTAGCTTGTTTATCTGAGTTGATAGTTGCTATGTTGCTACAGTCACTACGTACGACAAACAGGCAGAAGACTAACAGACCATATTCATAAACACTAGCTAGCAGTCAGAAGACATGATTAAATACTCCTTAATTTTACAATACATGGGAAACTGTGAGCATCCTAGACCAAGCCTTGTCTAAAACTGCTAGAGAATTCCTGAAGGCCTGGCTCTCAGAAAAATTGGTTGTCAACAGGCACACAGAGATAAACAACATCTATATATCATTCAAAAGAGACAATAAAAAAGCCACAAAGAAAACAAAAAGACCAAAATACCTCCTCACCAGCAATCAACATCCATATAAGCAGCAATTAATATCAAGATTAACATTAGATCAACAATCAAGAAGCAAACAATACTCCAATTAAGGAATTGCCACCTCAGATAAACAAGTTAACCGTAAAAAACCCAATAAAAGAATCACCAAGACCACTCCAATTGATGCTGACAGGGCAAGTCACCAGTATTTGGAATGAAAGCAAACCTCATTCTTTACTAGCACTGATGTTGTTATCTAGCTTAGTAGTGAAGTATCTACAAGAAAATAACCAAGCTTAGAGAGCACTAAGGACCTCATAATATTGATCGATTTCAGGTTAAAATCTGAGGGTGATTTAAACCTTCACACTGCTATAAGATAATTTACTATGCAGATTTATATAACCACAATTTTAAAAATTTGTAGCAAATTGTATGATCCTTGTTGGATTTCTTTAAAAGCATCTTTCTGTTCAAATGAAAGCCTCTGCCTCTCATTTTATTGTTTTCTTAAAACAGTCCAACAAAATGGGCTCCAAATTTTAGTTCAGATTGTGATTCAGGGTGGCAAAAAATGCACCCTTGCAGACTTTTCTTTTGAAAAGGAGGCATCTATCTCACAGATCCCATTCTTAACAATTACAGTGCACCATTAATGACAGCATCTCCTATCCAATGATCTCTCCATTCTATCAGGTGTATGTGTGTGTGTGTGTGTGTGTGTGTTGCTAGGAAACTCAGATGTGTATATTCTTCAGCACTCCTGAATCAACTCCATGGCAACAGCTGCCTGAGAATGGCGTAGCTGTTAAGATGCTCTATCAGGCTGAGGTAGTTTACTGAAGCAGAGATGTCTGAGTTCCTAACTCCTGCCCAAGCTGTTTTCCTTGCCTTTCAGTTTTCAATTCCCTGGCAGGGAATTAAATCAGGAAAGCCCCACCCCTTGAAAATCAATTTAGCAGCAAAAGGCAACTATCAAAGAACAAATTAAAATACAGTAGAGCTTACTGCTCTGTCAATAAGCAGAGCAAACAACATTTAATTATGGCATAGAGAAGGAGAAAGAGAAGGAGGGGGGAGAGAGTGGGGGGGGGGAGATGACAAACTTCTCTGCTGCTGAGGCTGGAAGGGGACATTGTACTTTCTGTCTCTTTCTGAGAGATTTCTGAAAGAAGTCTTGGTTTACTCTTTAAAAGGAGAGTTAGCTTTCTTTTGAGGGAGAAACCCAGAAAATATTTATTTGGAATTTCAGACCTGAGAAACCTTCATCCTGTTGGTTAAAGAGCATTGCTACCATCTTTGAAGCAGATTTAATCTATCTGCTCGGATGAAGAAGAAGTGGTGTGTGGGGAAAAGTATTCAAAAAACCCAGGCATAGCAGGATGAAACCTTTCTTTGCTAGCATTTAATTAACAGGAAAAACACAGCAACAACAGAATGAAATGAATTAACCCAATCCATACTTAATTTTCTTTAAGAAAATAGTTTAAAAATTATTTAAATGATTAGAACATTAATAGCCACTATATATATATCAGGCCCTAGACCAGAGATAAGCCTGTGAATTCCAATTGAGTCCATTTTTTTTTGCTTACACCCAATAGATAGAATCTTGCCAGATTAAAGCTATAATCTTTTAACCTAGCAGATACACCCTGAGAGATTATAGACTACAGGTATCCTGCAACTACTTCCTCCTGCTCCATCCAGTTAGGACTGTGCAGTTTCTTATTTTGGGCTTCTCTCTGGAATATACTGCTTCCTCCCTGGAAATCCAAATTGTGATCCAAATGTTCTTTACAGAAATGATCTGATTTCAGCCATCTTCTTTTTTTTAATATAATTTTTGGGGTTTTTTCACAAAAACATAATACAAATAAAACATCTTTTTTTGAGAACAGCATGATCCCAGGTTATCACTTCTCCATACAGACACAAACTCAATTTCATATTCATCTGTGTTCTATTCCATATCTTATTACTATTTTAACATTTTCTCCATAATTTTCCCCTCCCTTGGTTTTCTCAGCTTTATTTTTAATTATCTCATATCTAAATTCAATTATATATCTTTTTCTAAGTTTCAATGTCTTTCTAATCATTATATTTATACTTTTGTCAGTCCTGTTTCAATTTCATATTATCTTCTCATTAAACAAATTTTCCCCTATAGTTACTAACTGGAGTATGACACCTTTATATCTTTTAATTTTATCCATTCAACTCTTATTTAAACTTCAATTTATGCCTTTAGAATTATAACATTCAATATAGTACATAACTTCCAATTGAATTCTTAAAATACACACTATGTTCTTTATATATATGTATATATATGTGTGTGTTTTCTTAAGTTTTCACAGGTATTTATATGTATGGTATTCAGCTTTGTTCGGGTATTTTTCCACGTCATTATAGTTGTGCTTTTAAAGTTGTAGCAATGTTTCAGCAGAATCTTATCTGCCATCATCAGGCTTCTGTATAGTGTTTGACTGTGAGTCAGACAGAAACAGCTGTGAAAGTCTGACTCATAGACGAACACTATACAGAAGCCTGATGATGGCAGATGAGATTCTGCCAAACCGTTGCTACAACTTTAAAAGCACAACTATAATGACGTGGGAAAATACCTGAACAAAGCTGAATACTATACATACATACATACATACGTACATACATACATACATACGTAGGTCTAGGTGTGTTGGGGTCTTTTCCCATGTAAGATTAAGAGTATCTTGGCGATGTTTCAGCGAGGTCCCACTTGCCATCCTCAGGCTGGTGCTTTCGGCTTCGTCGCCAAGATATTCTTAATCTTACATGGGAAAAGACCCGAATACACCTAGACCTATATACCTGTACCCATGAAAATCTACGAAAACACACATATATGTGTGTGTGTGTATGTATGTATATATGTACATACATACACACACACACACACACACACACACACACAACAGTAGTAAATAAAACACTCATTCCATTCCAATTCAATTCTATCATTAATATTAGTTACAATCTTAACGTCTTTAACATTTCTTTTCAATTGAATATCATACTTCCTTGGGAACACTTATAAACTTTCCATAACTAATTCTTTTTTTTCCATATTTCTCTTCACTTATATTTTTATAAATCATTAATAATAATTAAAATGTTCCCATCCTTTCCTAATTTCATCCTCTCATTCTCTTTATTTCATTTATTTATTAACAAACATTCATTACAAGCATTACAATAAGTATTTTATCCATCATTTTAATCATACATTGTTTCATATTTTCTAAAATTATTTCTATTTCTAATATAACAATACTATTTTATGTACCTTTGTAGAATCCTTTTTTCAATTAAATTTTCACCCATTATCTCTAAATAGGCTTATACTTTCAATCATTATACATTTTCCTTGTTTCTCTATGTCTTGTTTCTATCTTTTATAACTTCTTTTCCTTTCCTTCTTCCCCCTCTTCTTCTCCCTTCCCTTTTTACCCTTGTTTCTCTATTTCTAATTCTCTCTTTTGTAATCCTCTCTTCTGTTGCTTCCTAATATTGTAATTATTTTTTAAACTATTCTCTTTTTTTGGTTGTTTTTTCAAATCTTAAAACTTTTCACTGTCTTTCCTACCTTTCCTTTTTTTCCCCCTTAGAATTACTTGATCATTAAAGATGGCTTCTTCTTTGTCCCAACCTTCTTGTTCTACAAGCATTTCTTGTTGTTTCTCATAGTTCCAAATC